GCTCAGGTCATGATCCCGGAGTCCTGGGATCGAGTCCCACATCGGGCTCCCGGCTCGGCAGAGAGCCTGCTTCTCCCTCTGACCCTATCCCCTCTCATGCTGTTTTATTCTCTCTCTTTCAAATAAATAAATAAATAAAATCTAAAAAAAAAAAAAGTTAAGAGTCCTAGACTCCAGCCTCAGAGATTCTGGTCTAGGACGCGTGGGGTGTGATTTAGTTTGCATTCTTTTAAGTTTCTCAGATCTGAGACAAAAGGCCTGTCATAGTAATGTATCCTCAGTGTGCAGAACAGTGCCTTGCATAGTGTTGGTGCTTCAAAATATATCTGAAGGAATGAATACCAACAACCTGGTATTTCAGATTGAATGCTGAGATAGCCACAGGATGGGAAATTACTTTTCCTTTGAGAGAACTGTTTGTAACTTGGATAGGTGGATAACTATGTGGTATTTATGAAAATAAGGGAAAGTACTCAATAGTGAGAGGCCAAGAGCCCCACTCCCAGAAGAGGGAGAAGGAATAATGCAGAGAAAGCACGTGTCTCAATTCAGCAGCGAACAGTGCAGCTGGAATCTTTGATATGGTGGCAACTCTCAAGGGTGATGGTTCTGTGGACAAATACAAAGGTTCTTCTCCACGACATCCCTGAGGGAACTCATCTCCCATTTCTTATATTCTCCATTCTTAGAGACTAAGATTCTTGTCCTCCTTTTTATTCTATTTATTCTGGGGATCCCTTTTTTTCTGTTCTGCCCAGTTTATATTAAGTTATTGAGTCTCTAATCACACACAATTTGGAAGGAGATATCTGTGTTCTTTAGAACTGCTTTCGAATGACTTATTGCTTCCTTCAATGACAAAACATTCTGACTAGTCCATTGACTAACTTACTCACTTTCCAAACCAACAGATTTGTCTTAATTTTTCTGTGCTGGGAAATATAAAATCATGCAAACCAATATCCTCCAGGATAAATTACTGGAAATTATGACAGATTTCTCTCAGTCTGTGCTTTTTAGCCATATAGTTAGCTACAAAATTTGGCTCACTGTGCTATCCGGGGTAGCCACTAGTCGTATATGGCTACTGAGCACTTGAAATTTGGTTTAGTGCAACGGAGGAACTGATTTTTTGTTTTTAAAACTTTAAAATTTAAATAGCAAAAAAAAAAAGTCAAGGAATGTTTAATCTACTTGGGAAGGTAAGACATGGACATTAAAAGAATAACTTACTTATATCCTGTGGTGCTTTAAAGTCCATTAAGAGTCCTTGCCCTCCACAGAAGTAATATTGAACAAGAAATTATCATAACCCCTTGAACCAATTACAGTGGTCACCCTTTATCCATGGTTTCACTTTCAGGGATTTCAGTTACCTTAAGTCAGAGGTGGTCTGGAAGCAGATGATCCTCCTGACATTAACAGTAACCTAACCCTAAGTCACCATTCCTACAGGTCACTTCATATCGCGTGGAATTTTATCATCTCACATCCTCACAGGAAGAAGGGTGAGTACGGGACAATAAAATGTTTTGACATTCACATAACTTTTATTACAGTATAGTTATAATTGTTCTATTTTATTACTAGTTTTGGTGTTAATTCTTAGTATGCCTAATTTATAGACTTTACCATAGGTGTGTCTATATAAGAAAAAACATACTGTATGTTCAGTACTATCCTAGCTTCAGGCATCCACTGGGGGTCTTAGAATATATCCCCCACATATAAGAGGGGACTTCCATACTCCATTTTCTTCTATGGACTGTTTGTGTCCTCCCCAAATTCATACATTGAATCCTAATCCCAAATATGATGGTATTAAGAAGCCCTTGAGAGGTGATTAGGTCATGACGGTAGAACACTCGTGAACGGGATTAGTGTCCTTGTAAGACATCCCAGAGAATGCCTCTGCCCTTCCCCTATGTGAGGACACAGTGAGATGACTGCCTTCCGTGAGCCAGGAAGCAGACCTTCAAATCTGCCAGCACCCTGATCTTCGACCTTACAGCTTCCAAAACAGAAATAAATTTTTTTCTTTCATTATTTATTCAAGACTTCTCATATATTATTTAGAAAGTTTTGAAACTTTTATTATATAGGAACTTTGCACTTTTTTAAAAAAATAAATTTCTCTTTTTATAAGCCATCCAGGCTACAGTGTGTCTTATCAACCAGAATGAACCAAGACAGTATCTATTTCACCTGGAATAGATATTTACATCCTCTTACTAGATTAGCTGGTATAAATGTACCACTTAAAGATAATCTGGTTACCTCAATGCTCTCTCCAAGAGACCATGGCCTTTTTCTGCTTTGGTCACCACTGAATCCTCACCTCCTCAAACAGAACCCAGTACAAAGGGAGTATTTAACAAATACTCAGTAAATGAATGAACTGACTCAATCTAAGGCTGCTGTTCCGTAAGTGCCTCTGCATAAAATAAACTTCTAAGAGTTTACAGGAGACATCCCAGTTTCCAATTAATCCTTCACCTTGGCCTGCACAAACTGAATTAATATACACATGCCCCATATCCCACCCACCCAATGTTAGCCCTTTCCAGATTTTTCATTCATAGCATTCCAGATACAAATTTCCTTGTATGTTTTTTTTTTTTTTTTAATTTTTATTTTTTAATTTTTATTTTTTTTGCGAGAGAGAGAATGAGAGAGAGCACGAGAGGGAGGAGGGTCAGAGGGAGAAGCAGACTCCCCGCTAAGCAGGGAGCCCGACGCGGGACTCGATCCCGGGACTCCAGGACCATGACCTGAGCCGAAGGCAGTCGCCCAACCAACTGAGCCACCCAGGCGCCCCTTCCTTGTATGTTTTTAAAATTCACCGACTTATTCCCTCCACTTACTGAACTCTGACTTCCTTCATTCCTTTAACAGACACAATACAGCAATTGAGGTGTATGTATTTGGGTTGACATCAGATTATGCCTATGTATCAATGCATATTTTTAATAGGATGAGGAGATCAGGCTTTCCCAGCCTCGGCATTTATATAGTTCCTCTCAGTATATACTTTTCAGCCATACTATGACCTAGAAATTTTTGCTCAACCCTTCTCCACATAGAAGGTCTCTGAGCTTTCTCCTACTGGTTTTCTGCGACATAAAATAAGACATAATTGACCACTGAAGGCATGACCACATTCACTGCATTCATAAGGTTTCTGTCCTGTGTCAATCCTCTGTTGTCTCCTGAAGGTGCACATCTGGCTGCAGGCTGTCCCACTAGGACCACATTCCTATTTGCTAAGAGCCCACTGATGTTTACTGGCGTCTGACAAGCCACCGAAGGCACGTGCATAGTCACTGTATTGACAAGGTCTTTCTCCTGCATGGCACCACTCGTCTGTGATAAGCTGTGATTCTCTGAGGGAGGCTTTTCCATTTTGACTGAATCTCCACATTTCTCTCTTGTGTGTATTCTCTTATGTTTAACAAGGCAAGACATGTAGGCGAAAGCTTTCCCACACTCACTGCAGATATAGGGTCTTTCACCTGTGTGAGTTCTCTGATGGACAATGAGCTTTTGCTTTGTGGTAAAGGCTTTCCCACAGTCACTGCATTCAAAGGGTTTCTCTCCCGTGTGAATTCTTTGATGTTTAATGAGACCTGACTTCTGGGAACAGGATTTTCCACATTCACTGCACACAAAGGGAGTCTTTCCTGTGTGAAATCTTTGATGTGCTATCAGGCATGTCTTCTGGATGAAGCCTTTCCCACACTCATTGCATATATAAGGTTTCTCTCCAGTATGGATTCGCTGATGTACAATAAGATTTCCCTTCTGGATGAAGCCTTTTCCACATTCACTGCATATATATGGTTTCTCTCCTGTATGTGTTTTCTGATGTATATTGAGCCGTGATTTCTTCAGGAAGGCTTTGCCACATTCAGTGCATTCATAAGGTTTTTCTCCTGTATGTGTTCTCTGGTGTTCGGTAAGCATGAACTTTCTGGAGAATGCTTTCCCACACAGGCTACACCTGTGGGGTTTCTCTCCTGTATGAATGATCTGGTGATCAGTGAGCCAGGACTTCTTGATGAAGGCTTTCCCACATTCACTGCATACATGAGGTTTGTCTGTTTTTTGCGTTTTCTGATGCTTGATGAATTGGGACTTAGTACTAATGAGTTTTCTGCTTTCAGGGAATTTAATTTTGGGATGAAACTGTTCATTAATAGCATGTAGAAAGGATTTTCCACCTCCAGTAAGATCTGCAGGGTTCTTTATTTCATAGCTTCTGCTCTGGTGAAGTAAAGTTAAGTTTGGTTTCATAGTTTCTCCATGTAAGCCACACATATCATGATTTTGCCTTAACACGAAACGAGCTGTGCTCTGATGAACGTTATTTTCAAATGTTTTCTGTTTGCGCCGTCGTTCTAGGCTATTCTCCTTGATTTCACTTTGTAAGTGCTCTGGCAAGTAGTCATCAAGTTTCCAGGTTTCTAGAAAGGAAAAGAATAACGAATTCATTTATCATCTTGATTTGGACGAAAAACAATTAAAAGACTCCCTTGATGTCATATGTCTATTTGGTGATGACTCTATGAAATTAGTATCAATACAACTCCTGCACATCAGATAAAACAGTAATATAAGTAACCCAAAAGATAAAAGTTTGTAAAAACAAGGTTGGATCATTCACAATAAATAAATACAGATTTGACTGATTTCTAAATGAGGCCTCGCAAAACATGCAGCGCCTGTGAAATACACGCAATTTCCCATGAGCAGCAGACCACTGGTTGGAGGGCCACCTCATCCAAACTGGGGAGAAATAGACTCATTCACGTCACAAATCCTTACTGAGGACTACTGTGCACAGGACATGGCGCTCATGCTGGGGACACACACAGAGTCCTCATGTTCAGGGAGCCCACACTGTAGTTTGGTAAAAGGACACAAGGAAGACAGCTGCACGTTGTGAAAACTGGTGTGAAGGAGCAATGGAGACGGAGAGAGATGCAGGAAATCAGGTGACACTGTGGAGGAAGACAGGCCTCCCTGGAGGATTCATTGTCTCAGTCAGCCTTGGGGAGCAACAATAATGATACAGGTGGGCTCCAAGCACATGTCACCTACAACATCCAAAAGGGAACTCCTGGTTTCCCATCCCAAATCTCCTCCTCCACATGTCACCTCCGACACAGTGAATGATGACACCTCCGCTCTTCCCTTTAATCAGGACAGAACTTCTCAGCACCTCCTGTCATCTGTGTCTCACTCACTCATAACCAGAACCGGACCAACACCAATGCCTTCCACCCTCCTGGAAGCCAGTCACTTTCTCAATCTACAGCAGCAGCCTCCTACTTGGCTTTCCTGTTCCTGCCCGGCCAGCTCCTGTCTGCTTTCTAGACAATAGCCAAAGTGATCCTGCCAAACATAAATTATATCGTGTCAAGCCTCCTCCACTCCAAACTCCCCAATGTTTTCTCATCTCATGAGGAATAAAATCAAGGTCTTACCATGTCCATGAAAGACCTTTATGTGACCTGCTACCCCAAACCCCAGCCACTACCCTGTTGACCTTCTTTCCAGTCTTGCTCTGTCTACTCTTCGTAAATTCTGCAGACCACACTCCTGCCTCAGGCCTTTGAGTTTCCAGTTTTACTTGGGAACATTCCTTACCCAGGGAGCCTACTCACATCCCTCATCTACCTGCTCAAGTGTACCTTAACATGGATTTCCTATTCCTCAAATCACAGGCAAGGCCAAGCACTCATTATTCAGACATGCTGTTTTAATGTTCCTTACGGCCGTTTTCACCCCCAGAGCCTTACCTTCAACCTCCATCCATTCCTTCCTCTCACAAAGCCCATATTTACTTAAATGTCGAATCTCATCTGCCCTCTGTAATGACTACATCCAGAACGTGACCAGCACTTCCCCTCCACCCATACCGAAGCCAACCAATCCGTCATCATGTTGTGCAACAGCCTCCTGTATGGCACCCCTGCCCACTACTGTCTCTTGTCTATATAACAACCAGAGGGATTCTTTGAACACGTAATTACTTCCTGTCATTCCAGTACTCAAGAACTGCTCATGTTTTCTCATCTTACTAGAAATAAAATCATGACTCCTTGAAATGGATTACTTGAATGATCTTACTCTCCCTTCCCCCTGCTGTTACTGCCTCTTTGATCTTATTTCCATCATGTTCCCGACAGCACACTCCACTCTGTCCACACAGCTCCTTAATGTTCTCAAACACATTCCTGCTTTGGGCTTTTAAATTTGCTTTGCTCTCTGCTTGGAACACTCCCAATCCAGCAGCCTGCTAATTTCCCTCACCTCTTGGCTCTAAGGCACCTTATCAGAGCGGTGTTCCATTCCTAAAGAGGAAACCAAGCCCCTACTATTCTGTTATAGTGACTAAATTTTTATCACAGTACTTTTCACTCTCTGGACATACTATTTATTTGTTTATTTTGATTAATTTTTTTAAACCTTCTCTTAGAATGAAAGCTCTTGCTCTACTTGTATGCATTTTCTTACTGCTCCTACCCTCAAGCATACACTGCTATCAAAAAATAATTTTTAAAGGAATGAATGAAGGAAGCAATCACATGTACAGAACACAGTGGGGAGAGTGTAGGAGAGATGAAGAAACTCTATTTGTGTGAGCAAGATAATATATTATGGGGATCACAGAAAGAATTTCATGTCATGTGACAGGTAATGTGGTTAACTGGGACTTAATGTCATCAGAATATGATGGAAAAAAAATAAAAGTTTCAGGGAAATGAATCCAACAGTGTAACACCTACAATGAATGAGAAGAAAGTCCAAAATTAGTAAATACACAGAGGAATTAAAGTAGGCATGAGTTATGATCTGACTTAGGTTAGAATGGAGAATGGAGGATGCTAATATATCTTTTTAGCTAAAATTCATGAACAAGAGACTCCTTTAAAGAAGAGAGCTCTGCATATATGGAACATGTGAGGTAATGTCTGGATGGCCAGGATGTAAGATGCACAGGAGTATAGAGAACCTAAACTTACAGAGGTTTTCTGGGAGGGAAGAGGATGAGAGTTCCTTGCACTTATTGGGAACTCGGGAGAGTTGCCAAGGGGATAAGTGAATTATATAGAACTAAAGTCTGCTGGATCACTTTGAGGAGATGTCAGTTTGAGAGTCTCCTGCAGGGAACAGAAGAAGCTTAGCTTATTAGAATAAAGAAACTTTGAGGCGCTTAGCTGGCCCAGTGAGAGGAGCATGAGACTCTTGATCTGAGGTTGTGAGTGGGAGTCCCACACTGGGCGTAGAGATTACTTAAATAAATAAAACAAGAGAGGGAGGGAAGGAGGGAGGGAGGGAGAAAAGGAGGAAGGAAGGGAGGAAAAAAGGTTTGAAAGGTTAGGAGACCAGATGAGAAAATGGAAAACAGAACCTTTGGAGGACCTCAAAGTGAGGACAAGGGCCCAGTGAAGACCAGTTTACTGTGGGAGCACAGCATCCAGGATGGGAAGGAGGTTAGGAAGGAAAAATCAACATTACCAATGGGACATAAAGGTGCAGTAGTTAGAAGACAGTGAGGAATTCAAAGTTTTCTGTTTGGGGAGAGGCCTCTGGACAGTGGACATTTATGGCAAGGAAGGTAGAAGAGTATGAAGAAGGGAAAGATCTGAGAATCCCAAGAAAAAGAGAACTATGCAAATAAGCAAAAAAAAAAAATAAGATGTACATAAAATAAAAATGGAATAGATCCCAGAATAGGTAAAAGGTACATTTTTCTCTAAATTCCTATGAAGAAAAAGAGGTCACACTTCAGGAGAGAGATGCAGGGAGGCACTGCCTACCTATCCTCCAACCCTTTCACAGCTGTGCCTCTTATCTGGCCAATTAGAATATGATTTCCACACTCTGGCCCCCTCCTGGTTCTCTGACTCACCTGAACGGGTTTGACAGGGGATGTCTTCTTCCACTGTCCATGTTGGTTCTCTTTGATCCAACTTGGAGAGCACATCTTGCTTGCTGATGTGAAAACCTGTTTGTGGGAAATGACAGAAGACAGAAGAAGGCTTGAGGTCTGGGAAGACCACAGAATATTATAGTTAAGGACATTATAAAGGAAAAACGAACTGCACTGTGTGTCTCATCTACTGTTGATACTCTACTACAGTACTTTACTTCTGACACCTGCTATATGGGGTTTTCACACACCAAGAAATTCCTGTGACACCAAAGGACACTGACTGGGTGTCCAACGATTTAACTCAATTCTGACATTCTCCACCTCGTGATGGCTTCAAGGGGTTCATTCCCACAAGACTGCACACCCTCTCCACTTCCCAGAGACTTCCCCAGTCACAAGTCCAAATTGTTTCCTGGGCTTCTGATGGATCAGATGTTCCCATGACCCCTTTTCAGATTCAATTAATTTGCTGGAGCAACTCACAGAACTCAGGAAAAGTTTCCTTATTACATTACTGGTTTATTATAAACTCAGGCACAGCCCAGTGGAAGAGATACATAGTACAAGGTATGTGGGAAGGGTATGGAGCTTCCATGCCCTCTGTGAGCACTTTTCCCACACCTCCTTTTGTTCACCAATTCAAAAGGTCTCTAAAACTGTCCTTTTGGGTTTTTATGGAGATTTCATTAAGTAGACATAATTAATTAAATTAAAGCATTAGTCTTTGGTGACAGATTCAAACTCCAGCTCTTGTCTCCTCCCCAGAGGTAAGATGGAACTGTAAGTTCCAACCCTCTAATGATGATTGGTTCCCCTGGCAACCAGACCCCATCCTTAGGTTATATAGTGGCTTTCCAAAAATCACCTCACTAACATAAACTCAAATGTGGTTGAAAGGGTCTTGTTATATAAATAACAAAAGACACCCATTTTACCTTTATCCTCTTATAACTTAGGAAATCACAACTGTTATAGGAGCTCTGTGCCAAAATTCGGGATGAAGACAAAAATACATATATTTCATATATATGTATATGTGATATATATATATACGTCATCATATATAGATATCACACATATGTACAAAGTAATGGCTTGCACTCAGGAGAAGGGAGAATATACCCATGTCTCTGGAGCCAGGGAGGAGACTGAGAATCTCACTTCAGAGCAACACGGACACTACAGAGTTTTAAGAAGCTGAGAAAGGAAAGGCCACTGATGGGGACCCTCTAAGTGACACTAGGGAGTTGTCCTCACCCACTGACACCAGGTTCCTATAGTTGTCCAACATCACATCCCAGTACAGGTCCTTCTGAGCGGGGGCCAGGAGCTGCCACTCCTCCCAGGTGAAGTCCACGGCCACATCATCAAATGTCAGGGATTCCTGTTATAACACAGTTATGTTTAATGAAGTGATATTCTTTTGATGACATAGAAGAAATGTTAAAATTTTTCTGCTTATTTCCACTCTATAGGCTGTATCTAGATATCTAGTGGGGTTTTTATGTAAAGAAGCAAATGCCTGATTAAATATTCTGTAGTTGTGCACAGTCATCCATCCATTCATCCAATGAGAAATTTCTATAGCACGTAAAAGTTCAGTCTTCTTGTTAACCTAGAAACACCATCCATGTATATATGCAGACAAAAGATACATGTATGTATACTTTTCAGACTAATGCAACTGATTTCTTACAGGCCTCTACAACTCTATTAGGGAACAAAGGAAAGAATAAAACAAACTGAAAGTCACCTGGGCCTGGGTCATTTGTTCTGCTCCCTGAAAACAGCTGGCGGTAGGGAAGCTCTGCCTTGTGTCTCCTGGATCTACTTTTAGTTTCTCTTCAGAAATCTCAGTCTCGGTCAGGCGTGCCCCCGTAAAAACTGACACCACATCTCGTAACTTTTTCCTCCTTCACATAATCCTTTTGCTCCTGGGGCATCAGGACCTGTGGGATGAGGAGACAATGTAGTCTGAATGGTGCACTTCCTCTGGGTCCAGACGCTGTCACTGCTCCTGAGCACTCACTTTAACACGTGCACACAGTACTACTAAGTGTCCCTTTATTTGGTGCCCCAGAAGACTTATTCGTCTGACCGATAAAGCCTGAGGTTCTGAATGCAGTGGAGGTTTTCCTTCATTCTGTGATGTGTAAGTGGGGTGAGTGTGACACGAGAAGAGGAAAATGAGATCTACCCCAGCACCATGCCTCAGGAGAAGGGGAATCTCACACAGACCAGTTTTATAAAACAGACCACACAGAAGGAGAGGATCGGGGCAGTGTTTTCCTTTAAGCCATGAGTGCTCAGGTAACTCTTCAAAGCTTTTGTACAGCCTGTGATTACAAGCTCTTCAGTTTGAAAATCAATATACTGGGCTAATAAGAGGCATTGTCTTACAAGTCATGTATTATTGCCTCATAAAATCTTAGGAAGTTTTAAATGGATAAAGACGTAAGTACAGAATATTGTAAATAAATTAGAGAGTGGTAAATGAAACTGAAGTGTTCTCAGAGTCCTGTATCATTGGAGAAGAGTGTAAAAGTACTAATGAATATAAGAATTTGACAAAGGAAAGTTCCATGCTGTATGTTATCTCTAGTGTCATGATGAAAACTAACAACTGTCTTAATGTACATAATTTTAATGCTAACAGAACGGGGAAATATAATGACAAGAAATTCATCCAAAACAAGGCAAAAAAAAAGTAAAGAATAAGGAACTGAGACCAAGTGGGGTAACTACAATGCACTTAGATGACTGTTTTTAAACAAAACATACTAAGAATTATATGAAGTATAAACAAAACAAGGATTTCAGTAAATTAAACACAAACATCTCAAGATAGTCCGACTGGACTAAAATTTAAAACCTAATAACATGCTATTATGGGTTACATGTCTGAAACGATGATATGGAAAGCTCAAGAACAAAAGATTAGAAAAAGATATACCATGGAAGAGTAACCATACACAATCTGTGTAACTATATTCTCAGACAAAATGGACCAGAAAGTCCATTATTTCTCTACAGAGAAAGAGAAACAGGTTGAGAGGTTCAATTCACCATAGTACAAAAATTGGCAATTTTTATTCACTTAACAATATAGCCTTGAAATGTATATAACAAAAATGGACCAAAAAACAAGCATAAATCAATCATTCCAATAGAAGACTTCAAAACACCTCTCCCAGTAACTGACAGAACAGCCTATCAACAGACAAAATCTATCAACAGCATTCTTTTTTTTTTTTTAAAGATTTTATTTATTTATTTGAGAGA